GGAGTTCGAGACAGATTTTCTCTTCTGGCTGTCCTGGAACTTACTCTGTTGACCAGGCTGGCCTCAAACTCACAGAGATCTACTTGCCTCTGCCTCCTGGGTGATGGGATTAAAGGGGTACACTACTACTACCTGGCTCTGTGGTGTTTCCTTTTATTGCTATGTTTTTCTAGAACATACTGTTGCTTTGATTCTTTCCAGATTTCATCTCCCTCAGCAGCCCAGGAAGGCTTCAGTCATCTCAGGGTCCTCCTGAGCACTGGAGCTACAGGTACAAACTATATACCTGGGCAGGACACAGTACTCAACTGACTGGATAGACTGTTATTTATTTTTACAAGTTCCCATCCTGGGGAAATAGCTGACTGCAAGTTTTTAATTTAGAAAAAAAAATTCTTCAACATTATCCCTTACTTGATTTTTATACATGTCTCAGATTGTTTTAAAATAAATTTGTAAATGTGAAATTTTAGATGAATAGTAAATTATGATATGGGTAGATAATAAAAAGTATCATTCCCCTGGAATGGACCAGTGTGCCATTCCCTCCTTTTCTCCTTTCCCTCCCTCCCTCCCTCCCTATCTCCTCTTCTTCAGAAGTTCTTCTACCTCCACCTCCAAAGTGCTGGAATTATACGTGTGATAATACCCATTTCTAATGAAGATGTGAAGAAAGGACTACTTCATGTACTTTTCTGTTGTTGAGAGCAGGTCTGACTTTAAAATCTCTATGCAGCCAAGACTAGCCTCACATTTGCAATCTTCCTTCCTTGGCATCCTTAATTGCTGGGATTTACAGCTGTATGACATTTTGCTTGGCTTTCATATACACTTGAAGATATAAACAGATGGATACATAAATTTTGGTAGATAAGCTGCCATTATTTAAAATAATATGCATCTCCTTTAATATAAGTAATTTCAATTCTACTAAAATACTTCATGACTATGTACAAATACATTTCTAAGAGTGTTCACTACAGTACTGCTTAAGAAAAGCCAGGCATGGTGGCACCTATCTTTAATTCAGAAGGCACAGGCACATGCACATCTGTGAGACTGAGGCCTCCTACTCTACATAGCATACTCAAGAACAGCCATGGCTACATAGAAAAACCCTGTCTCAAACAAAGCAAAACAAACAAAGAAACAAAGAAAGGCACACTATAAAATCTGAAGCTATTAAAAATGAAACAGACACACACAAGCCAAACGTTATAGGTAAATTGCAGAATTATAGACAAAGAGTTATTTCATGCTTTCTAAAGACTATGTATAATTGTGTAATGTTAATATTATGTGTGATCATAAAAATAAACTGAAAGGATATTTTTCCAAGTAGCTAATAATTCTGTGGAAGAGAAAAGTGTACGGGAAGGCAAAAAGAGAATAATATGTGAAGTCACATCTGACTGTAGCCAAAGGCACAGATGTGAGATGTGTGCAATTAAGGAGTTTCATTCCTTTTACATGCTCTGACTGCCTGCATTCTCTTTTAAATTTATTTATTTTTACTTTATGTGCACTGGTGTTTGATCACGGGTGTATGATCGGTCCCCTGGAACTGGAATTACAGACAGTTGTTAGCTGCCATGTGGGTACTGGGACTTGAACTTTGGTCCTCTGGAAGAGAAGTCAGTGATTTTAACCACTGAGCTATCTCTCCAGCCCTGACTGTTTGCATTCTTAAGAGTAATAAGAGTTATGCATAAATAAAGGTCACGGAGTGTATACCTGGTGAACCTAAAGAAGCTAAATAAGAAGGTGAACCCAAGAAAAAACATATAGTTATCCTCTTGGCTAAGGGAAGTAGACAAAATTGCCGGGAAGAAAATTGAGATCTTGGGGGTGGGGTGGGTTGGGGATAAGGGGGGACGGGGAGAGAAAAGTGAGAAGGGGAGGATGGGGGGTACGGGAAACAGGAAGATTGGGATAAAGGAAGGTTGGATAGGGGAGCAGGGAAGCACATATCTTAGTTAAAAGAGCCACCTTAGTGTTGGCAAGAGACTTGAACCTAGAGTGGCTCCCAGGAGCCCAAGGCGATGTCCCCAGTTAGTCCCTTGGGAAGCTGAGGATAGGGAACCTGAACTGACCCTATCCTATAGCAATACTGACGAATATCTTTCATATCACCATAGAACCTTCATCTGGTGATGGATGGAGATAGAGACAGAGACCCACACTGGAGCACTGGACTGAGCTCCCAAGGTCCCAATGAGAAGCAGATGGAGGGAGAACACGAGCAAGGATGTCAGGACCACGGGGGGTGCACCCACCCACTGAGACAGTGGGGCTGATCTATTGGGAGCTCACCAAAGCCAGCTGGACTGTGACTGAAAAAGCATGGGATAAAACCGGACTCTCTGATCATGGCGAACAATGCGGACTGATGAGAAGCCAAGGTCATTGGCAAGGGGTTTTGATCCTACTTCATGTTCCGGCTTGGTGGGAGCCTAGCCAGTTTGGATGTTCACCTTCCTAGACATGGACGGAGGGGGGAGGACCTTGGACTTTACACAGGGCAGGGAACCCTGACTGCTCTTTGGATTGGAGAGGGAGGGGGAGAGGAGTGGGGGGAGGGGGAGGGAAATGGGAGGCTGGGAGGAGGCAGAAATTTTTTTTTCCTATTCTCAAAAAAAAAAAAAGAGTTATGCGACCTGCATAATTAAAACCAACCAAGGCTGGCGAGAAGACTGAGCAAGGCTGGAAAGCAGAGGAAACTGACTACACATGCGTGCTGTGGCACGTGGCCCACTTTCCCAAATTCATCATTGATATTAAGTATATTTTTTAAAAAAGAAAAGATAATTACCACTCTCTTATGATCCTCGTGTGGAAGTTAGTAAGCATTCTTGAAACAATTATGTGAATTAACCATATTAAAATATTATATGCTCAATTTACCTAAAATAGAAACTAATTTATATAATTACACAGCAGTAATTTGTATACATAAAAATCTGAGTAGTTGTTGACAAGGAAATGTAATAAAGATCAAAGTTTTATATATACTTCAAGCTTTGAATAAAATACACTTTTAAAATTATAGCCAGGATGTTTCAATTTTAGTTCCTGGGTATCAGAATTACTAAGGTCTCACCTGCAAAATCTTTCACATTCACATTTGCCCCTAAACTTATTAATTCTTTGACTTGTTTCACATCTCCTCGAATAGCAGCCATGTGTAAAGGCGTTTCACCACGTTCATTTCTTTTATTAATTTTATCTTTTTGTCGAGATGAAGAACTGGGCGTCTTCTTCTGGGCTGGTGTTGCTTGTGATGGATGACTTGGTGTGGAATCTGTAATAAAGAAGACAATTCACAAAAGTTCCCAATCACCTGTGAACCACATTAACCACCAGCATGGCACAGTAACTCTCTGGGTGCAGCAGTGGAATACATACCTTGGAGGTAACCAACTGCTATCTAATTGGACTTAAAGATCCATATAACAAGAAGGAAGCCACACCTGGTACTGGAAACCTAGCTAACTAATTAGTACTAGTAAAACCATGGTTACTGGAGAAGAATCTATAACCACTAATTTAGTAAACCAGCATAACTCCTGATAACAATCTATATGCATTTGTCCTTATGCTTACAGATAAGTATAGTTTTTAACTTTTATCAAGGAAATTTTTCTTTGCAACAGATGGAGAAGACTAAAAGTGTGGGGATAAGTCCCACCCCTTAGGGGGCGTGTTCGCCTCAGGCTAATGTTTGCCTATAAATTTGGCAAGCGTGCTCCCAGCTGCTGCTTCTGCTTTCCTGGTCTCAGTGGAACGGTGGTTCTGTAAGTCTATTGCCCCATTAAGGCTGTCTGCATTCATTACAATCCCTCTGCATTCGCTTAAGCCGTTACATTTTGGTGTCCAACATCAGGCTATTTTGCCCCCCCCCCCCCCCCCCCCCCTCCCCACG